TCAAATTTCACCACTGCTGACGTCAAACTGATCAGCTGGTAATTTGACGCTGATGCTCTGTCTCCTTTTTGAATATGGGTACTACATTTCCCTGTTTCCACAAGTCTGGCACAACTCCGTGTTCCAATGATTTTGTAAATAAATTTACAAGGGGTCCGCTAATCTGTTCCCTACACTCTTTCAAGACTCGAGGAAAATTTCATCCGGCTCTGGGATTTTGTCTTCTTTAGTTTATTTATCCTCTTAAGAACATCCTCTTTTCTGATAGTGATATTCTTTAATTTTCATTTCCTAAATATCAGTTCCACCTCTGGAATTTCCTCGCAATTTCCTCTGTGAAAACTGATAAGAAGTAGTTGTTCAATGCTTTGTTTATTTGTTCACTGCCATTTATCACTTCTCCCTCCCTGACTTTAAAGGCCCAACTTTGTCCTTGACTTTTGTTCTATATACCTGGAAAAATCCCTTGGGATTCGCCTTGGATTCTCTTGCTATTTTGACTTCACAGTCTCTCTTGCTTTCCTTACATTTTTCTTAACATTCCTAGATAGTTTATTATACCTATTTCTGAGCTGCTCCTCCCTCCCTTTAATTTCTTATATATTCCTTTATTCCTATGTCATGTTTAAGTTTTCGGTCATCCACCTTGGCTCATTCTTATTTGACCTAATTTTTCTGTATGGTATATTTTGTTCTTGTGCTTTATGTAGTATACTAGTGAATATATTATAGTCATGATCAATTGTTGTGTCATCTATGACCTCACCCCTTCCTACTGGGGACTGACGTGACTGTCCCAGGTGACCTCACCTAGGTACCTTCTTAACCCTGATAATCCGCCAACCGAAAGTTTGGGATTCTGACCATATTGTCATTGTTTTTGTTTCCCAATTTAGGTGAACCTGATTTCTCTGTGATCACTGTTACCTAGTTCTTCCCCTACTGTGACATCTCTGATAATATTTTCTTTATTTGTAAATGCTAGGTCTAATATATTGTCACCTCTAGTAGGTTCTGTAATTAGTTGTTTCAAAAATTGTCCTGTACTGCGTCTAGGAAGTCTTCAGATTCATAATCACCTACAATGGTGTCCCAGTCAATATTTCTGAAGTTGAACCCCATAATGCACCGGTTGTTATATTTTGCTGCCCTACTCATTTCCTGCCATGGTTTATGTCAGGTGCAGGAGGCGGTTCCCTCAACTCTGTCTGAGGAAAAGTTACAACATCGGAAAATCCTTAGAATTCCTCGTATTTTTCTAAGAACAGAACACTTCAATAACAGTTCGACATTGTGAAGTGTTGTGAGCTTTGTCTGGTCTGGCACTTGTGGGTGTGTGACTGGCCTGTGTTGTCTCGCTCAGTTACTAACTTACCTCACCTTCTGAATACAATGACAGCCAACTGAGCAAAATATTTTAGCCCCTTGAGTACGGTGACTTAACCCTCGAGTACGTGACTTAGCTCTTGAATAGGTGACTTAACCCTTGAGTACGTGACTTAACTTGAGTACGGTGACTTTGAGTACGAACTTATAATCCTTGGAATACCATGGCAACTTCCTTAAGTGCGGTGATATTGTCTTCAGCGTTAAGTGATCGTACTCATAGGTTAAGTCATCGTACTCAAGGAAGTCATCGTACTCAAGGTTGTCATCGTACTCAAGGGTTAAGTCATCGTACTCAAGGGTCGTCATCTTACTCAGGGTTGCTATCGTACTCAAGGGTTGTCATCGTACTCAAGGGTTAAGTCATCGTACTCAAGGGATAAAGACATTCAGTTTACGTGGTGAAATGTGACAATGGCTTCAGACAAATTTTACATCTATACACTATGTGTATCCCGGCAGCCGCTCTGTATTTCTACTGTTTAAACACTAATCAACCCCAAAGTAAGAATCTCCTCATAATTCACATGATAATTAAATCTAACTTGTTAACACTGAACAGAAACACATATAGTCATTGACAAAGTCTTAACACTCAGTCAGACACACGAGGAGGACATTATTTAAATAACATCAAATGGATGGTGAGATAGAGGAGTGTTGGGAGCTGTTGGCATACTGATGCTCTGAAACTAAATGTCGTCATGTATGACTGCAAGAGGTTGACTGTTATTGCTAAATATAAACCCCATCAGGTCGATAAGAGTGCAACCGTCTTGAACCAACACAACACGGAGAGGAGGAAGAGGAGAGAAGAGAGAGGCAAGGAGGAGGAAAGGGGTAAGAAGGAAGGAGACAGCATAAGGAGCAACTCTGCAAAACATGGAACGTACAATGTATCAATTATGCACGATAACAACGTCAGAGGCCAGACTGGAGTGCTTTGCCTCGTTAATCAATGTTACTCGTATGTGTTAGACGTAATTTATCAGGTATTAAATGTGGTTCGTTCTGACTTAGACCTAACCTCTCAGTTAACTAAAATTAACCACAACTAAAATAGCATAAGGTAGTTTAAAACAAATTTATCTTCAGCTAACCTTAACCTACATTAAGTGGTCAAACCTTAAACAACATTAAGTGAACAAAACAAGTAAAACAGTAAGGAAGACGCTGAAGAAGTGACATTGAGTTGGTACTAAGTTTCCGAGGCGAGGACACGTCTCAAGAGTGGTCACACCCCTCATAGAACTGACAAGGAGGACCGAAAGGGACGGAGAGCAGTATTACTACACTGACGACTGTATATACCGGTGGAGGTGACACGAGGGGAAGCACCGTCCCACACTTACTACTGAGCATCACAAGGAAAGACGGTGTTTGCCACTTTACTACAACTGATACCAAAGTAAAGGTTGACGAGTAGCCGATATATAAAACACGTACACATCAGACAATAGCATGGAGGTTAGGCCACTTACCATACACAAGAGACAGACACAGAAAAAGCAGGTTGAGAATGATATAGAAACAGGAGATTCGGAGGGTGGCACTTGTGACACAGAACACTGAGGGTGGCACTTGTGACACAGAACACTGGGAGGGTGGCACTTGTGACACAGAACACTGGGATGGTGGCACTTGTGACACAGAACACTGGGATGGTGGCACTTGTGACACAGAACACTGGGAGGGTGGCACTTGTGACAGAACACTGGAGGTGGCATGTGACACAGGACACTGGGAGGGTGGCACCGTGACACAGGACACTGGGAGGGTGGCACTTGTGACACAGGAGACTGGGAGGGTGGCACTTTGACAGACACTGGAGGGTGGCACTTTGACACAGGACACTGGGAGGTGGCACTTGTGACAGAGGAGACTGGGAGGGTGGCACTTGTAGACAGAGGAGACTGGGAGGGTGGCACTTTGACACAGAACACTGAGGGTGGCACTGTGACACAGAACACTGAGGGTGGCACTTTTGACACAGAACACTGGGAGGGTGGCACGTGTGACACAGAACACTGGGAGGGTGGCACTTGTGACACAGAACACTGAGTGGGTGCACTTGTGACACAGAACACTGGGAGGGTGGCACGTGACACAGAACACTGGGAGGGTGGCACGTGTGACACAGAACACTGGGAGGGTGGCACTTGTGACACAGAACACTGAGGGTGGCACTTGTGACACAGAACACTGGGAGGGTGGCACGTGTGACACAGAACACTGGGAGGGTGGCACGTGTGACACAGAACACTGGGGGGTGGCACGTGTGACACAGAACACTGAGGGTGGCACTTGTGACACAGGAGACTGGGAGGGTGGCACTTGTGACACAGGACACTGGGAGGGTGGCACGTGACAGAACACTGGGAGGGTGGCACTTGTGACACAGAACACTGAGGTGGCACTTGTGACACAGAACACTGGGAGGGTGGCACTTGTGACACAGAACACTGGGAGGTGGCACTTGTGACACAGAACACTGGGAGGGTGGCACTTGTGACACAGAACACTGGAGGGTGGCACTTGTGACACAGAACACTGAGGGTGGCACGTGACACAGGACACTGGGGGGTGGCACTTGTGACACAGAACACTGGGAGGGTGGCACTTGTGACACACAGAACACTGGGAGGGTGGCACTTGTGACACAGAACACTGGGAGGGTGGCACTTGTGACACAGAACACTGGGAGGGTGGCACGTGTGACACAGGACTGGGAGGTGCACTTGTGACACAGAACACTGGGAGGGTGGCACTTGTTACAAACACTGAGGTGGCACTTGTGACACAGAACACTGAGGGTGGCACTTGTGACACAGAACACTGGGAGGGTGGCACTTGTGACACAGAACACTGGGAGGTGGCACTTGTGACACAGAACACTGGGAGGGTGGCACTTGTGACACAGAACACTGGGAGGGTGGCACGTGTGACACAGAACACTGGGAGGGTGGCACTTGTGACACAGAACACTGGGAGGGTGGCACTTGTGACACAGAACACTGGGAGGGTGGCACGTGCATGGCCAGAACACTGGGAGGGTGTGTAACGTGTGACACAGAACACTGGGAGGGTGGCACTTGTGACACAGAACACTGGGAGGGTGGCACTTGTGACACAGAACACTGGGAGGGTGGCACTTGTGACACAGGACACTGAGGGTGGCACTTTTGACACAGAACACTGGGAGGGTGGCACGTGTACACAGAACACTGGGAGGGTGGCACGTGTGACACAGAACACTGGGAGGGTGGCACGTGTGACACAGAACACTGGGAGGTGGCACGTGTGACACAGAACACTGAGGGTGCACTTGTGACACAGAACACTGGGAGGGTGGCACTTGTGACACAGAACACTGGAGGGTGGCACGTGACACAGAACACTGGGAGGTGGCACGTGTGACACAGAACACTGGGAGGGTGGCACTTGTGACACAGAACACTGGGAGGGTGGCACTTGTGACACAGAACACTGGGAGGGTGGCACTTGTGACACAGGAGACTGGGAGGTGGCACTTGTGACACAGAACACTGGGAGGGTGGCACCCCAGACACAGAACACTGGGAGGGTGACACAGAGGAGACTATTGTGACACTCACCATCTGCACGTTGGGTGTGTATCGCCTCCTCATCCTAGGGTGTCTGGAAAAGATAAACAAACATCAGTACACGAGACATAACCCAGCAGTTTATCACCCTCTCCTCCATTCCCTTATTTCTCTCCTCCATTCCATATTTCTCTTCCATTCCTTATTTCTCTCCTTCATTCCTTCTTCCTCTCCTCCATTCCTTCTTTCTTTCATTCATACAGTAAGTGGGAGGAGGTAACAAGAGAAGGTTCACCATCAAGATAATTATTTTGCATTCGTAAGAGTAAATGAGAAAGAGAGAGAGAGAGAGAGAGAGAGAGAGAGAGAGAGAGAGAGAGAGAGAGAGAGAGAGAGAGAGAGTGAGAGTTTATAGTTACAATACTGGGGAAGGTTTTACAGATAGAATAGTTTTACCACCCAAACTATCCTTAAAACCAGTATAAACCAGACTAGAGCCATGTCTGTGATCCCCGTGTAAACAGGCAATATTTATTAGTATGGGCGGTGCTAATAGATAGAGTATACACAAAACATAAATACAATGTGTGAAGTGACAAAGGGTGTACCATGTTACAGGTTTGGGACTCTCGTTGTCCCACCAAAAATCAGAACATTTGTTGCTTTAGTTCAGAAATACAACCCACAAATGATACAGAGATATGAAACAACATCAGACATGGTATAAATTCTAGTTATTATATTCCGATTACTTTATAGTTGCAATGTTGAAATGCAACGAAGACTAAATGACTGATCAGCGGAAGCAGATGTAATTTTATATATACACGAGTCCTCGCACAGACGACAAGACGTACTCACAACTACCTCCTAACATCAAAGGGTCTAGTGACAGTAGTCGTACTGAAACCTGGTTGGCTGAAATCGTAGACTTACTGCCCTGAAGCTCTTATTACACAGGACGGCCCAAGGTTTATCTTCTATGAATATTAATGTATGTAAAATAGAACACCTTACAATGCTAGATAACAATAAGTGACTGACAGTAAAGAAGTCCAAAAATTTGATATTCAAAGGTCCCGATATATATAGTGCAAGTTTAGAGGCTCCTATATATTGTATAATAATTCAAGGTTAAGGTCTCCTAAATATAATTCAAGGTTAGAGGCCTTTATATATAATTCAGGTTAGAGGCTCCTATATACTGTATAATAACTCAAGTTAAGGTCTCCTAAATATAATTCAAGGTTAGAGGCCCCTATATATAATTCAAGGTTAGAGGTCCTACATACTGTATAATAATTCAAGGTTAGGGTCTCCTATATATAATTCAAGGTTAGAGGCTCCTATATATATAATTCAAGGTTAGAGGCTCCTATATACTGCATAATAACTCAAGGTTAGGGGCTCCTATGTATAATTTAAGGTTAGAGGCTCCTATATATAATTCAAGGTTAGCCCTATAAGAGGCCCTATATACTGTATAATAATTCAAGGTTAGGTCTCTATATATAATTCAGGTTAGAGGCTCTATATACTGTATAATAATTCAAGGTTACGGCCCTATATATAGTGCAAGTTTAGAGGCCCTATATATAATTCAAGGTTAGAGGCTTCTATGTATAATTTAAGGTTAGAGGCTCCTATATACTGTATAATAATTTAAGGTTAGGGGCTCCTATGTATACCCTAAGGTTAGAGGCTCTATACTGTAAAATAATTCAAGGTTAGGGCTCCTATGTATAATTTAAGGTTAGAGGCCCTATATACTGTATAATAATTCAAGGTTAGGGGCTCCTATATATAATTCAAGGTTAGAGGCTCCTATATACTGTATAATAATTCAATGTTAGGGGCTCCTATGTATAATTTAAGGATAGAGGCTTTATATACTGTATAATAATTCAAGGTTAGGGGCTCCTATATATAATTCAAGGTGAGAGGCTCCTATATACTGTATAATAATTCAAGGTTAGGGCCCTATGTATACTTTAAGGTTAGAGGCTCCTAAATATAGTGCAAGGTTAGAGGTCTATATATAATAACAAAAAAAAAAAAAAAAAAAAAAAATAATTAACGGTTTATAGAAAGTTCCAGCCCGGGCTGAAAATATACATTGGACATAAATGACGTATTACATACATGGGTGGTTTAACAAAGCCTTCATTAGAGAAAGGTAAAGGAACATACAGTAAACATACAGATTAATGTAGGTGTTGAACAGCAAACTCGTAGTGTAGTAACTCCTCCCAGATGGTGTTAGGAGGAACTCACTGTGTGTAGTAGTTCCCCAGATAGTGTTATGAGGGACCTGTGGTGTAGGAATTCCCTCGAGATGGTGTTATGAGGGGCCTCACGTGGTGTAGTAATTCCCTCACAGATGGTGTTATGAGGGACCTCACGTGGTGTAGTATTACCTCACAGATGGTGTTATGAGGGGCCTCACGTGGTGTAGTAACTCCTCACAGATGGTGTTATGAGGGGCCTGACGTGGTGTAGTAATTCCTCACAGATAGTGTTATGAGGACCTCACGTGGTGTGTAGTAATTCCCTCACAGATGGTGTTATGAGGGACTTGACGTGGTGTAGTAATTCCTCACATTGGTGTTATGAGGACATGTGGTGTAGTAATTTCACAGATGGTGTTATATGAGTGAGGTGTGGTCCTAGGCCTTCCTATCGTAGACGGATTAACACACCGTTGTTGTTGGTCTCACGGGCCGTTATCACTGGTACCTGGGACCTCACTGTGTGAAGGTTAACTTGGGTAACGATTGTTACTGTTGAGTTGTTCTCACTGACTTCAAGCACTGTTCACCTCTGTTTAACACTGGTTCCATTCCTTTCCTAAATGGAATTGTAACTTCTGGCGAGAACTTGTTGATATTCCGGTGGGGAGGAGGGTCAGGGGAGGGGTTGGTATGGCTAACTTAATAGTTGACCTGGCTGCCCAGAGAGAGCGCCAGGTACGTCTTAACCCTTCGGTGGTCAAGGTTAGAGGCTCCTATATATAATTTGGCTAGAGGCTCCCATATATGCAAGGTTAGAGGCTCCTATGTATACTTTAATGTTAGAGGCCCTATATACTGTATAATAACATCAAGGTTAGAAGCGCCTATGTATACTTTAAGGTTATAGGCCCTATATACTGTATAATAATTCAAGGTTAGAGGTCTATGTATAATTTTAAGGTTAGAGGCTCCTATATACTGTATAATAATCTTCGCTGGGTAGGGGCTCCTATGTATACTTTTATGTTAGAGGCTCCTATATATGATGAAGGGTCAAATCTAATGTGCCTTCATTTTAACACTGTGCGAGTTAA